AAATTTTTCGTTTTTTTTTTTAGTTTTCGTGACCTACCCCCTTCCCCCGAAAAAAAATATTTTCAGTTTTAGTTTTTTTATCTTTCGGTTTACATGTTCGAAATTTTACAAGTTCCAAAGTTATGAGTTCGGAGGTTTATGTTTTGGAAGTTTACGGGTTTAGAAATTATGAAGTTTACGGGCGTGAAAGTTCATGGTTTCGAAAGTTTAGCGGTTCGGAAGTTTATGTAATATGTGGGAGTTTTACCCAAAGTATAATTCTATAAAAGGTAAAAATCTTCTGCTTAACTAATCACCGGTTCTCTATTAATACGTGTCGAGATTCACGCTGTGATATCCGGCCGGTCGCGGATATCATGGCCTTCTATTGATCGTGCCCGATCGTCTGGTAATGCTCTTCGAGGCCTTCAAGGTTCAAACGGGACCTGGGGGCCATGGCCCCGATATTCCCGAGGGCAGTCATTTCACCTTGACCCCGGATTAAGGGGCTCTTTGCCTCAATTTCGTTTCCTTGCCTTTACGTTTCTCGCTCCGTTTACTTTATCGGAAACCGAGACGTACCATGAGCTCGGTATTACCCGTAAACAGATAGTATCATCGTTTCTCGGAGGGTAAGTTGACGAGAACGACATGAGCTCCTCGATTCCTTCTTCAATACGCCATGACAGAAACGACAAAGATCCCGAAATGTCCCGTCATTTATGACTTCAAACGCGTGCCAGTCACCGGTTGGCTATCTCTGAACGTGAAATGTCGTGAAACCTCTATAAATATTCCCCTCTTTCGTTCATTTTTGCTTTATGTTCAAGCTTCTACCCTCGAGTCTTCTACCCTTCTCATACTCTAGCATATTTACCTCAATTTTTCAAGAATTTTCAGTAAGTTTAAATTTTTTACTCATCTTCTATCCAAACCGCCACACTTGACCCTTCATCTTTCGTCATCTTTTCTCAAGCCTTATCTAGATTAGAATGGAAAAAACTTCCAAATGTGTTCCCCAAAAAGTTGCTTCTTCCTCTCAAATGACCGCTGAAATCGATGAAACCACTCCCAATGTGGTCGACATGGAGAGGTCCGCTGCTGATGTGGCTACTAATGAACCGACCGTCGAAACTCTCTTGAAAATGTTCATTACCGGGGGTTGTTCGATCGCCGACGACTTTAAGGTTGAGAAACCCTCTTCCGTGTAGGGTCGTCGTGAGGAGGCATCGAGATATATATGCTCGATCACCGAAGATGTCCTCCCTGAGGTCCGAAAGAACTGTAACTGGGCAAATAAGGACATAATGGTCCCCGACCTTGAGGAGGCCATTACTACCCATGTCGAGGGATATCTAAGTGTTTACACTTATCCCTTCACATTGGGCCCACTGGACCGATCATTATAGACTTCTACAAGAGGTACGGAGTATGCCTCGGTCAAATCCACCCATCGCCATGGAGGATTGTAATCCTTCTTCGATTCTTCGTGAACAAGATCGATTCCTGTCAGCTCACCGTAGATCATCTACTCTGCTTGTACAGTCCTCGAATCTTCAGAGGGGGACTGATAAAGCTCGTGCGCCGGGTTAGCAAAGCCCCATTCTCAAGCATCGATGAGGATCGGGATCGAGGCTGGTAGGGGCGCTTTGTTTGGGTGAGTACCTCAGACCTAATCCCTGCAGAGTTTAGGCCATTCCCCGAGAGGTGGAACGCATCACGTAAGTACAACTTTCCTTTGAGTGTTAATTTTTTGTTCATCTCCTTTTTCCTCATCGGTATTTTGTGGTGGTGCAGCTGTAGCTAGAGTCCCAAACGCTATTGTCTCACAGATGCCTTACTCTGAGCGCTCATGGCGCAAACTCTCGAAGGGCCATTGGGAGGCCCGTTCCCATCGTAAGATTTCTTTCCCGAATAAGTTACACTAGGCTTCTTCTTCTAGCATCATGTTCTTATTCCCTTTATTTCCTTTTCAAGAGTTTGCCTAAGACCGTCGAGCTTAGGCCTCCGTTCGGGGACGAGGACTTGCCCCTCGATTCCTATGCTTCGGGGCAGCTCAGGGCTGCAGTAGGAGAGAAGAAGAAATGAAAGGCTCTGGGTTCCTCGAGCTCAGAGAAGAAAAAACCAAAGAGAAGATTGGCTCGTAAGCTAAAGGAGAGCTCCAGCTCTCGAGCACCAGACTCGGACTCACTCTATCGGCTCAGGGAAGATCCCGAGGAGGAAGATCTTTTTGCGGCCCGCGAACCGTCGCCCCCCGAGGAGCAGTGGACTGTTGAACAGGAGATCCATGAGGCCGATCTCTAATCACGTCCAAATGCACGCCTCAAAAGAGGTATGATATGGTCGTATGCAATAATAAAACACAACTAAGAGTCGGGGTCGAATCCGCTGGGAGCTAAGATGGGAGTTAGGAGTATATACTCGGAATGAGCAAGTAAAGTATCTAAATTACACTTCCACAATGAGGTTTTTGGTGTCTATATCTAATATTAATCTAATGATTGCAAATTAAAGACAGAAGACTAGAGATAGTTGTTTTTGAGAGTTTTCCAAATATGTAAAAGACCTAAGGTTGTGACCACGACCTAGGTGTTTGCCTAATAGGATAAAGACTTTTATGCTCGTTTTGTTAACTGGGGTGTATTATAAGTTTATAACTCACAACTCTACGTTACCCACTCAGTACCTCTCGATCAAAGAGTGGTTTTTTCCAATTTGGCTTTCTCAAGACCAAATGGGTATCAACCAAAATAGTTGATAAGAGCTCAAGTCGGGTTGTTACTATCTCTAGGTTGAACCCTTTAATTGGGTTAATCAATCTCTCAATTGATCCAATTATTTGTTAGCTAAGTTAAGACTAGGTCCCTTTTTCTCAAGTAGAGACTACGTCAAATATGCATGAATCAATGTTTGCAACCATCAATTCTACAAATAAAGCATGAACTCAGCTAAATAATTAACACCCAATCATAAACAAGCATAAAATTAATCACCCATAAGGTTTACACTATAGGGTTGGGTCACAATCCTAGTAAAAATCTAGCTACTCATAGTGGAAGTAGAAGAAAACAAAGAAGAAATTATAATAAAACTCATATTGGAAGATTAAAATAGAGAAATCTAATATTAAATCACCAAAATAAGCTATTATTTCCTAAAGAGGCAAAGAAAAATGGCTACAGTACTTCAGATATTCAAAAACTTGACCTAATTTTGTGAAACTCGTCTATTTATACAAACCAGGAAATCTCGAACAAAAATGCCCCTCGGGAGGTTTTGCGGCCGCAAAATTCCTTGTGCGATCTGCAGATTTATTCATCTATCAGGAACTGGAGATCCGCGGCCGCACATTTTTGAACTGCAGCCGCGAAGCAACTCTTCTGCGGTCCGCAAAATTTGGACTGCGGCCGCAAGGCATTCTTCTGCAGCCACACAATTCTTGTGTAGTCCGCAATTCATAGAGGACCTGGACTTGGTCTTTTTGCACACTCTCTGATCTTCGACTCTTAGATCATCTTTGCGGCCGCATAATTCATATGCGGTCCGCAATTCGTGAAAATGTCTAATAGATTTCCCTTCTTTGTTTGCGGTCGTAGATGGAAATCTGCGGTCCGCAATTTCTTCTGCGGCCGCAGAATTCCTTCTGCGGACCACACAGTTATGCTCATGCGCCTTTCATTGCCTTGTGCCTCGGACTACTCCTTTTTGAGTCGAATTTCATCTCGGAAGATCAATTTCCATCATTCCTACAATTTTGCAGAGTTCCATTAGTTTCGGGAACACAATTCAATGCTTTTAGACTAAAACAAAAGCTAAAAGGTGCTAATAAGCAGTCAAAATCCCCACTTATCAACTCCCCCAAACTTAAGTCTTTGCTTGTCCTCAAGCAAAGAAAATAGTTCCCACCTCCAAAAGTTTAGGGACATTACAACTAGCCACTGGTGA